CTTCATCGGAACAATGCTGATTCATAATAAAACATAAATACAATAGCATATGAGTTTAAGCCCTTGAGACTATGAACTTAGCCTTTTTGTGCTTTGAATAAAACTTTTCTTGTTAAAATGTAACAAAAACCATCTCTCTCACAGACAAGCAAAAAGAGGAGAAGATCATAGTAGTTCCGGGGTAGTAAAAATTAGGGCATAATTATGAACACGAACTTAACGGATTTCAGGATTAGAATAAAGTCACTTTAGTGGTTCATAAGGCACTTAGACTGAACTACACACAAAAAATTGAATGCAAGCAATTAACTAGTTTAGCCTATTCAGGCTAGTAAAAGTTAGGGCATAATTATGAACTTGAACTTAAGACAGTTCAGCATTGGAAAAGCTGAATAAGGTTGTCACTCTATACGGTCCATAGAACATTTAAACTATAATGTATTAAATTGACTCTAATCATATAGGTAATTCAACAATTTCAACCTATACAGGATAGTAAAAAATTAAGACATACTTCCAAACATGAACTTAAAAGAGTCCAGGGTCGGAGTAAGGTCGCTCCACGGGATCAATAAGGCACTCTGACTAAACCATATTAAAATGTTAAATCCATTCTAACTAGTTGATCCTATTAGGTATAGTGCAAGTTAGGGCATAATTCTGAACATGAATTTAATAGACTTCAGGATGCAACTATGGTCACTCTACTTGAGTACTTGGTCCATGAGCATGTCACTTAGACCAAATCACATACAAATATTGAATACAATCAATTAGCTAGTCCAACCTACTCAGTCCATTGAAAAACCGAACATAAAAAATAACATTGAAAGAAAAAGGTGGAAGAGCATATGATGAAATAGAGAACGAATTATCAGAGGGGAACTCATACTTTAACGGAAATGGTTCCAGCGAGGGCATCAAGATCCTCAAGAAGCTTTCCAATCCTGACCTCGTTCCAAGGATCCCTATACTGCTCCCTCAAGATATAATCAGTGGAGAAGTTGTACAGAATGGTGGTTCGGCTCTGCGATGGGGTCTTGTTGAGCAACTCGCTCTGAGGGGGTGCGTCGAGTGGTGGGTCGAGAAGCCTCTCAAAAATCTTAGACCTTGCTTCCCACAGAGCATTGGTGACTGGAGAATGGTACATTCCGGGCCACAAACTCAGGTGCTTTCTGTTGGAATCATTTGCATCGGAGGAGCTGTCGAAGGGGGAAGATAAAGTGGATACAATTGGTATAGTCCTTGAAGGAGACGAGTTGGGATCCATGAAATTCAGGAAATTCTTTGAACTCTTGACGATCAAACACTGACCTTTTTGGCACGCGAGTTTGAAAACATTAAAAGGGGTGAAGCCGTGAAGGTGAACAGTTAGGAAGATGGTAGCATATTGCACGCTAAACACGTTTATTATGTTTAGTTTTTTTAGGAACATTTTATAAACATATTATAGTCCATATTATTATAGTCAATTTGAGAAGAACTATGTTATTGAGCATATCCATTGTATTTTGTTATTCTAAAACATGTTTCAATATGTTACATGCGTTTAATATCCTTGGAGTTGCACACAAATACAATTGAGATTTCTCATTTGTTAAAAAGGTCAAGATGACCTTCTCTTAAGTTGTGTTTTTTAAGAGTGATTTTTGAGTTATTGGAGTTTATCTTGTCGGACAAGGTATATGATGGTTTATTTTGCTTATTTGATGTGCAATTTATCAATGTCATGTTAATGTATATGCAGTTCCATCATCTTGCTGTCCAAATGGATAAAAAGAAATCACGACTAGGGCGATTGAAGTGCTCATTGAATTTCGATACAACTTAAACAAATGTTTGAGCCTCACAATGTTCCGATTTCAAGTAAGCATATACGTGAGTCTTCTTAAATTTTTATTTTGTTTCGATCCTTCTTTTGCTTCATATTACATGTACCTCTGATTATACTATACGAGGGGTACTCTTTGAGGACTCTTTTGGTCTAATTTACATGTGGCTGCAATGAAACTCCCATTTAAGAGGTGTTATCTTTCCTATTCTTTTTTAGCATATTGTTTTCAAAGGTTGTAATTAAAAGTTTGAAATAACTAAAAGCCACTGTTTTCAAAAGTGCAGGATTGCATTTCCAATATGATTTTCTCTTGCAATCATTGACGCTATAAATATCAATGTTGTTTCATAAAATGGCATTTTAAGAAGATGAAATTTATTCTATCTTAATATTGATGCCCCTGATCTCCTTTTAAAATCAAGTTTTATCATGAAAAAAGGACGACTTTGTGTATTGGGGGATCTAAAATACTACGTATATTTAAATCAAAGTTTTCTCAAAGTTAAAGGTTTAGTTTTCTATTTAATTTGTTAGTAGCATCTAAGACTCTCTTTCTAACTCTTTTCTATACATGAAATTGTGAACTTTTTATTAACAATCTCTTTCTAATATATATGTGCAGATTTCTGGCTTTCTTTCTTCCTTCTCTGTATGTGAAATTATGAACTTTAAGTTTACAATCATTGACGCTATAAATATCATTCTTTTCTTAAAAGGCATTTTAACAACTATCAATACTATTATGAATGTGTTCGTACATCACTACATGTTCTATACTATTTTAAATGGAGAGAAACGATATTTTAAGCAAGCCAGATTAATCAATCTCGGATTCGCAATGCAGTTCTCGGACCAGTTCTATGGTTTGTTCCAGAGCACGACTTAAACTCTTTTCCTGCAATCACTTACAACCAAAAGTAACACTAGTCGTTTGTCATCAACAAAACAATACGTTCCAACACGTAGCATCTCACACTAAGAAATACCACTAGATAAGTTTGGGGGGGGGGAGAAAAGTGAGTTATAGAGTTTACCAAACACCCCGTGAAAAGTATGAAAAGTTTAAAAGGAAATATTTAAAGGTAAAAGGAATGATGGTGAAAATATATTTTATAATATAATGGTTATATATGATATTGAAAATGATAATATTGATTATAAACGCAAGTTATACCATGGGACCGGTATTCACATGCGCATGGTATACCGGTCCCAAATATTATACCGTTTTTCGCTTTTCCCTACACTACGGATACTTTCTTTCTTTTCCCTCAAGGTTTGTGCAGTGATTTCTTTCTCTTTAGTTTTCTTTTTTATTTTCTTCAACTCTTTTCTGTTCTCCATCAAAATACTAAAAATTTAATTGAGATTATACTTATCTTTATCTTTAACTAATTAAGTTAAAACTGAATTTAATGTTTTTCTTTACCAATTTATTAAAAAAAATTGATTAAACCACATAAAATAAGTATATTGTATTTCATAATCATACACTATTTTTTTACTTTTTTTTATCTTCAACTGAAATTACATTCGAATTCATTTTTTCTGTAATACTTCCTCTATTATGATCTTTTTTAATTGCAAGAGTCCACTTTCATTAAAATATTTCATTTCTTATTAGTAAAAAAATAGATTTTGAAAATTTAAAATGAGATGAAGAATTTAACTATATTTTTTTAAAATTTTAATTTATCATATATTAGTAAATAAAATATAGTCAAAGTTGAATATGTGAATAGTTCAAAAAGTCCAATGTTGGAATTAAAAGAGAACGTAAGTAGTACTTTTTAATATTTATACACTTTTTGTAATTTTTTTTCATATTCATACATTTTTTGCTATACTATTTTTTTTAATCTCTTTTACAAGTTTTTAGATATTTTCAGACATTGAGTTTGCTTATTTTGATTCCTGGAGTTACATTTGATAATATATGAAATTACATCGTCTTATGCGCAAGTTAGATCTTTTTATGCGCGAGTAAAATCTTCTTGTGCGTGAGTTAAATCTTTTTATGCGCGAGTTACATATTCATATGCGTGAGTTACATCTTCATATGCGTGAGTTACATCTTCATATGCACAGGTTATATACATTTTCAGATGTGCGAGTTACAATTGGACTTGCCTTAACGTGTCCAATGTAATTAACTAATAACATTTGGACTAATTAAATTAAAACTGAATTAAAAACAAAACATATTCACTATTTACGTAAAGTAATTGAGAAATTAGATTTCTTTTCATTGTTTACATTGAAATCAATATTTTATTTCTTATACAAGTTACATTTCGACTTGCATATAGTTACATTTTTTATCAACTTGGGTTACATTTTACACGCGTATCACATCACCCTGTTGTTGAGATAAAAAAGTTGTTCACGTGTGCCATAGCTGTGGGAGCACCATGCACCATGGTTGCTCCCACAGTATAGCAACTCGGTTATAAAGAAAGGACTATGATCCACCCTATTGTTCCTATATATGGTAATTAATTTTATTCTCTTAATTAGTTTTATTCTCTTAATAAGTTCAACTCTATTAATGGGATTTCTTTGAAAGCAAATCAAATCCAATCAATTCCTTATCATGAGAGGCAATTTAACATCGAAAATTATTACCAGGTTTGCTTTCAATATATAAAGATAAAGATGTACGTATGGGGATTTGGGATATATCATAGATAGATTCTATGGTACTCAAAATGTACCATACATTTGTCCACATGGACCAATTAGAATGTTGCAGTTGAATTATTTAAATCATTTTTTAAATGGGTGCTGGAGTTCTCACCTATATCATAATGTGTGATATATATTTATAGGTATATATTATTATCTCTTATATTGACACATTTAATAATGCCATCAATATTGTTTTATTATTATTATTATTATTATTATTATTATTATTATTATTATTATTATTATTATTATTATTATTATTATTATTATTATTATTATTATGCATTGGTAGCACATTTCATTTACTTATTAAAAAATACTAGTATTATATACTTTGTATATAAATTCATTGTAGAATAGCACACTAGGCTACCCGCCACATGCATTAATCTAGTGGTGCCGCCCGCGCCCACGGTGGTGGCTACGTCGATGTTTCCTAACGCCTCTCCAATCAGACTTCTTTGTGAAATCGGCTTCTTTAGGAAACTCCCCTTTGGCAAAGTAAAATCCATCAGTCTTCACATTCCAATTACAGTACCTTTCCCCGTCGCACGAAACATCACTGGCGTCGTATACGGTGATGCCCTGGGCCTTTGTGCCCCAACGAAAGTCACACCAGAAAAGAGTAGTCTTCCAGATGTTGGGGCGGAAGTGGATTTCTTTTTGAGTATTTTGGGTCATATTCCACACCCCTAAATCGTTGTTTTTAGACCGACAATGCGCAGATACTTCTCCTGTTGAAGGCTGGACATTGTTATTGGGTGAGATCAAATCAAGAATCCTAACAACCTTTCTGTGGCCAGCACTTACAGCTCTTAGCTGCATTGCTATTATAGCAAAAGAGAGTAAAACCATGAAGGAGGAATATAATTTTGGGATTTTGCCAAGAAAACACATGATTATCATATGATTAAGATGTAGTGGGACTGGAGAGGGACTAATCTGATGTGGGCTTATTATATATGAGCTTACCATGAATGTTACATGCACATATACACACACTAATACACATACATACTCCGTACATGATTGAGCATTTTAATTTGTTTCTATAGATGCTTATAGGTTGATTTAGCATTTTATCGTACAAGGAAATATAAAATTACATGGATAAACAATACTTACTTCTTTACCTAATTCGAAGAGAAATGGAATTACCCAATATGTTTCATTTAATAATGAAATTTATTAGGGAGATTGCCCTACACGTGAGTAAATAAGTTTTGAAATTCCAAAATAGAACTGTTATGTGTTTCTTTCCAACACATAAGATGTTACTATCATGATTGAAAATAATCACATGAATAAAAAAATTGTCATTAATGATAATAAATACTGTCATTTTGAATGTCTAGTACTGTAACTATTTGGCAGTATTGATTAAAAGATGACAATAAATTAATATTGCCATATATATTACTCTTATTTTGGGAAGAAAAATATAACAGTTCTGTTTTGAAAAAGCTTCAATAAAGTTGTACCTAATCTCCTTGATTGCTAAACGAGACAACAGTTCTTTAAAATGATGAGTCAAGAACTGAATCCAATTGACTTTAGCTGTCAAAATATATACTCCGTATATATTACCTAGACCATCTAGTAAAATTAAAAACAAAATGAGCAAAACATCATTAGCATATTGAAGTTTTGAATAAGAAAAGAAAAGATAAGTCAAGTTGGAATCACTAAAATGGAAATGAATTGGAAAAGATCCGTATTATATATAGTAGCAAATGTTTCTCATGGAAAGTGCTAGAAGAAAAACATCTCGAATATGAAATTTTAGTACTTTACATGCCCATTTAGAGCATCTACAATGATTAGCTAAACATGTGGTAGCTTTGCTTGTCAGATCATTTTTTTCTAGCTAATCCATGTGTTAATCCAATGGTCAGCCATATTGCTTGTATCTTAAATAGGCTCCACAAATCAATCAATGAATTGATTTATTAATTTAATATTTTGTTGAAATATTTTCAAATCTATTAAAAAGTTGAATTGACAAGGAAAGGTAACCAAACTTTTAACAAATGAATCAAGTTGGTCGTCAACTATTATTTTGACCAAACATTAATCTAGCGCCCAACATTAAGAACCCGTTTGGTAACAATGAAATCAGTTGAATCGCCTAATTCTGCTGAAATGTATGAAGTTCTGGCTGAAGTGGCTGTATTGGCTGATTCTTCTTATTTATGAAAAAGTTATATTTAAAATATATTTTATTAAAAAAATAAAGAAAAAAAATATGAAAAATAGCTAAATGGTCATCTAGAGTAACTTCAACCAATACAACCAGAAAAGTATCTCCAACTTTACTTTTTCTTATAATTACGCAATTCACCACGTGTAATCAAAAATTACGTGTTTCATTAAAAAGTTCACTAATAAGCCTGATAAGTCAAAAACAGAGTCATCAAACGGGATCTAAGACGGCAAGGTTAAAAATGCAAATTATTAAAATCGGTACAATAACATGTATTTTGTTAAGTAAAAGAATAAGGAATATCAAATTTGACAACACATACATATAGAAAAATATCAACTTTTGCTTAAATATTTCATGAGTAATACTTCTTGTATGGATTTCCATAGTCCTCCATTTGAAGACCTTACACATGAAAAATAAGAGTACGTAGTGGACTAGTGGCAAAAGAGATGGAGTAGGCGTTGAGAAAATATTGTATAACTAAATTTTCAAAGCATTATCTACATATAATAACGGTATGAGATTAAAATTACTTTTAATTAATTTAATATATCAATTATAAATAAATTAAATATATTTGGTAATTACCATTTTAAATCAAGTTTATCTCCTTTCTAGCAATTAGCTTGTTTTGGCTAATTTGCTTGCCCAAGCTAGAAGGATAGATGCACTCCAATGGTAGGCAAGTAGCTTGGAAATTGCAAGCAAGTCTCTGGAAGGAACAATTGGAGATGCTCTTATACTATAAAGTTAATGGTCACACCCTTATACCCTCAAATGTATCATTCTTACATGTACAAGACAACTTTTTTCCATTTGAACTCATCACACCTTTGCACAAAATAGTCCATTATTTCATTTGTGCTAAGAAATGGTGGAAATGCTCTTTCCCTAGCAGTGTGGTGTTTTTCAACAAAAGCATATCACCAGCATATGCATATCCTTGTGCACATGTAAGAAATATATTCATTCAAATTTCCACATTCATAGAGTTGCATGGTGCCACGTCCATGTGGTTTCGCTGTTCAAACTCACATCGTCCACCGACCATGGTGTAATCTAGCATCCTAATTCATATATGAATATGAATGCTCCTAATTCAGATATGAATTCAAATATAGATGGGAATTGGAAGAGAGTCAAAGAATAATTGTTTTTATATACTCTTATATAACTAAAAGACCTCTAGTAACTAGTAAGAAGAGTCGCATGCATAACTATAGTGGGGGTTAAATGCATTGCAAACTTTAAACTTGTGTTTTAAAAAATTAGTACAATAAGATTACTTAAATGTAAATTTTTATAGTGATTTGCTCGAAGTTATTCCATTTAATATTGGTGAAATTTACAAGAATAATTCATAGTTTTAGGGATTCTATAATAATAATCCATACTAGAAATATGAATAAATATAATCTATACTAGCAATAGTGTCAACAACAAAAAATTTGGAGTGAATTCAAACTAATGCACAATCCAATTTACTATATAAATAAATGACAATTTAAACTTAATACAAATGTTTGTTTGATTGGTTCTTTATTAGAATTGAAGTAATAACATTTCTTGCCCATGGATTAACATTTTTTGCTATATATGCAGCGTGTGATGCCAATGTATTATTTATTTTTATGATGAAAACGTCTCAAAAAGATTTAGGGAGATAATTACCCTAAGTATGACTAAAACTCAATGAGTTTCTCAATCTATGACCTAACCAGTTTTTTTCTCAAAATAATATTATAATTCATAATATTTAATTAAAATTCGTAATTAATAAATAATAATTATTTTTTATGGACAAATATACCCTTTAGTTTATACCTATAAAACCCTAATCTCCTACCCATTTTCTACAACCCTAACTACACCCTCTCACGTGTAACCTCCGCCACTCACCCACGTAGCAGCCGCCGTCGAGCCTCTGCCCGCCTTCTAGCTGTCAGCCATCGTCCGCCGCCGCCGCCTTCCAAAGATCAATCTCTAGCCTGGGAGCACAATCGCCCGACCTGGGTGTCAAGGCGCCGCCCGCTGGCCACCGTCCACCACAAGAAGATGCCCAGTTTCCCAATTCTGATTTCCCTAAGAGAAAAGTTCGCTCTTATAAGGCGGCTGTCGTCCATCACTTCTTCTTCTCTTCTTTTTCGATCGCTTATCCCTACTGCTGCCCTCCTATTCTTTTCCATTGTGACGACAGAGCGTCGATGGAGAGTCGTTTACGACGGATAGGCTGGTCTTGAAGATGGAATTTGAAAGCCACTTCGGAATTAGAGAACTTTGGGAAAAATTGGAATACGTTGAAAATGGGAATGCATTGAGAATGGGAATGGTATTAGAGAACGGCGGCTTGGATGCGTTGAAAAGGGTTCTTCTTAATTTTCTATTTTTGAAATTAAAGTTTGTTTGTTCCTCAAAAAAAGAAATTAAAGTTTGTTGAATTTAGGGTTTGTGGACATTAAACATGGGCATTGAGCATTAGCAGTGCATATGACAATAAGTCTTGAATATGGTAGTGAATATGACAATAAATAATACTACTATTACGTATTGTACATGACAGTGAATTGAATGCATTGCGTAAGTTTGTTGTCCAGTGATTATGATCAGTAGTGCAGTAACACATATCAGTAATGCCGCCATTAAATGAAATATACTTAATTGGACGTAAACTAATTGAATTATTAAATCTAAAAAAAAACTAAAAAAAATTGTAAAGTGAATGAGAAGAGAATTAACTTTGAATGAAGTGCATTGATTATTACCGAAAGTGCAGTAATATCACGCATTAATGTTGTGCAGTAACGGCAATATAATGTGCAACAATTTTAATTGGAGGAAATTAGTGCAAAATGCACATATTTTACATAAGGGTATTTTTGTCATTCAATATTTAAATACAAACAAAATTTTCTTGTTTTTTGGATTTTTGGTCATACAATTGTCTAAAAACTAAGTTAGTCATATTTGGGGAAACTCAATGAGTTTTAGTCATATTCTAGAAAATTTCCCTTAGGGAGATACATGATATCATGATGACATAATTTTATGACACAAATCTGTTAACAAACAGTGACACTAAATTTAGTGTTACTTGCCGCCATTTTCATTGACACTTTTTTAGTATCATTAAATTTGAAAAAATTGATAGTAATAATCTCAACTATTGACGATCGACTCATAATAATCCCAACTATCGATGATTTCACAATAATCCCAACTTTAGGGACCTTCCGCCAATAATGGTCCGGCGTAACCGGCTATAAATAAATTCATATAATTTCCAAGATGGATGATAAGAGTTATAGTTATAACGAGTGTTCTAAAAAACTTCAAAAGGCGGCGCGCCGGCGCCAAGGCGAGAGTAGGCTTGAGGCGGCAGCCAGACACCTCGCACAGCCCATAGGCGCGGCCAAAGGCGTTCCAACTTACCAGATACACCAATTTTGGCATACCATAAGCTGTTTCAGCCCAATTAAGCTTATGATGATAAAGGTAGCGGAGACTAATAATATAAAGATCTTCACAGAGAGGGATTCTCTTCATTCCACCGGTGTGGGAGAAACGTAACTCATGAGTTAGCAAAGAAAAAATTCAAATACGAAGCATGTGAAAAAGTTTCCAACATTCAACCTTGGTGACTTCGTATATTCAAAAACAACATATGGCCTATGGTTCCAATTGCCTACACACCCAATTGTTAAACTATGGAATTGAACTTT